ATCACTAAAATATGCAAGTAATCACTTTTTAGAGATACAACTAAGTCATTACTCAATCCTCATATTCTGTAAGCCAGCTCTTTATAAAAAGTAAACTTTCTTTTTTTTATACTTAATTGTAAATTGAGGGCATTGCCCGCATTTGGGAGAATGACAGAACCTTTTGTCTCGTTTTTTTTCTGGTCAGTTTTGTTTTCTGTATTTAAGATGAACACATTTTTTTAAAAATACAATTTTAATAATGAATAGCCCTTTTGCACAGCCTAGTGGCAAGAAGTCACCTCAGCTCTGCCACTCATTGGCTCTGAGTTAATAATATCTAGAGATGGTCTTCACTGGTCGGTTAGTTTCTACCTTTCTAGCATTTTTTTAAATAAAAACATAACCATTCCAGCTTATGATGAAAAATAGTCAAAATTCTCCCAAGTAAACAGACATGATACAAGTCACTTTAATTTTTTTCAATTCAGGGAGTTCCACCTTCTTCCTTTCTAGTTCTAAGCTAAAACAAGGATTCATCTGGGTACTTCAAATACAAAAAAAAAAACTTCATAAATTTTTTTTAAGGTTTTCTTAAGATACATGAAAACCCTAATGTGGTAAACTAGCAACATGTCCATTATCAAAGTGTGGAATAGAATCAGTTAACCAACTTTACAAATCATGGGGGAATTTTCAGGTATATCCCGTAAAGACGCTGGCTCAAAACATGAAGACAACTATTTACTCTCACTCTAGATAAAATTATTATTTGGTGACATGACACTTCCATTTACAAATTTGCTGAAAAGGATGCAGAAGATGATCTGTAAGGCCTCACACTAGACAAATCAGCAAAACCTTATTATTAGTTGTTAATGCAAACCTCCACACCCAGTTTTTCAGTGTTGCCATTCTCTCCCCAAAGGTTGAAGTCTGAATAAAGATGAAATCATCCCACTTTCTTCCAACAGGGTGTCCCTTCTATATCTGCTTAAAGAGAAGAGACATTATGACCATGTGAATGGAGATGGTAAAAATACTAGACAGCTGTTAATAAAGCCTGGGTCTTAAACCTCTTTGTACCCAAATCTATTGTTTCCAAAGATATCCTCTTCTCTCAGCTACCTTCTAACCAAACAGACTGTTTGGGCTTAAAAATGCAGCTATTTTAGAATGCATCAGAGCAGAGCTTCTCATTCTCCAAATTACCCCATGAATTAAACCAGAATATTTGTATGCTTTATGAGTCATGTTCACTTCTGAGAAAGTGTAATTATTTAAAAGTATTCAAATATTTGTGAAAGCACTCTGTGTCTGGTACTCCTACAGAGAACTGCTATAATCCTAAGAGGATGAAATAGGGTAAGATTTGAAAACCACAGATACAACACAAAGAGACTGGGAATGAGTAATTTAAAAACACACACACACACACACACACACAATACTGAAATCATCTTTCAAAACACAATGCAACACCACATAAAAATGACCAGAGAAATAGTTATATGTTTAAGCTCCCTGAAGTTTCAACTGCCTAATATTATCTTTAAATATAAACCCTAAAAAAGAGATAAAAATTATGTGTGTGTGTGTGCGTGTGTGTGTGTGTGTGTGTGTGTGTGTGGTGTGTGTGTGAGAAGAGAGAGAGAGAGAGAGAGAGAGAGAGAGAGAGAGAGAGAGAGAGAGAGAGAAATGTGAACTGTCTATTGTGATCAGTTTAGTATGTTGAAAACTCTATTCAAATTATCAGGGGATCTATACTTTCACCAGCCTTCCCCCCCCTTCCCCACACACATACAAGTTATTGCATATTTGGAAATTCCTTAAGATGGTAAAAAGTTACAGGATTTCATGGCATTCTTCTCATACCTATCAATAAAAAATTTCAAGTCCCAATGCTGTCATTATGTTAAAGAATTCTCAAAATACTTAAAACTATTTTATCTTTACCCACCTCTACATAAGACAAAAAAAAACAAACAAAAAACCCCAGAACTCACGCTCATCCAGCAATTCGTTTCCATAGTCAAATCATGCTTCCATACCATGATATGTCAGCAACCACAAAAGTACTGTATTCTTTGACTGTTTACAAAGACTGTAATTTTAGTTAAATGTATTTTGATGGGCAACTTCACATCTTTAGTTTCAAAAGCATACAAGGCCTATGGGACTGATGGGCATCATAAGCACATAGTAAACTAAAGTGTTCTTTTCAACCTCTACCAGAAACATTTCCAAAAATCAAGTCTTTCATACATGGTCTGAGCCACAAGACAATGCCAGAAATAAAATCAACACCCAGAGAATGGAGGAAAATGGATAAGAAAATTCAAAATTCCAAGATAAGAATGACAAAAGGACATTAAGCATTAACGGTTAACATCTTACAAGAAGGCAGTTAAGCTCCATACTCCCAGAAGATACATTTATTACCTACTCTCTTTTCACAAATATAATCCAAAATCTTATTAGTAATTTAAACTCACATAAGACCTAATATCAACTAACTGAACTGGAATCAAAACATCACTATTTTCCATCTCATTTTTTAAAAATCGTTGACATCAATGTTTTCCTTTAGAAATTAGAAGTTACCAGTAGTTTCATCTTAATTTCGTTCACTCTGATAAAAGCTCACAATGGAGATCAGGACTAGAAGAGAATCCCTGGTGATTCAAACAGAAAGGAAAAATATGGTATCCTACAACATAGGGAATAAGTCTTTAGACCTCTAATCAGGCAAACAATTACATGGAGAAACATTTGCAGACAAGACAAATTAAAAGGGTCACTCAGTTTTCAGCTGGTTAAAGAAAACCAGTCCCCATCATGCCTCATTTCACACAGTGAAACATGTTTTAAGAAAAGCACACACAATCCATTAAAGAGTCATTTTTAAACAGTCTCCTGAAATTACACACACCACCACGGCCACCCCTCAAAGTCTATTTCATCTCAAGTAGATCCCACAAAGAATGCTGCTTTTGAGCATCTTTACATTATTGTTTTACTACAAGCAAACATTTAAATGCTGCCCTAAACTACAATATTCCCTAACATTAAGGTTTGTGTGCTATGTCTATTGTTCCTGCTCACCACCCCCACCCTTTTCCCAAGCCCAACCCATCAAAGCAGATAACTGTTGCAAAAAACTGGTAACAAAATGTTAAGGCTTTTCCCTCCTTTACCTTAACTTAGAATATGATTTTTATACTGAATTTTAGTGGCAAATATTACCTGAACATTCAAGGTTTAAAAGTAGATTAGTCTACAATGTCTTATACAGACACAAAATAAGTGATTTGCCCAATCTTTAGCTACTGAAAACTTGTTAGTTGTTTTTTTTTTTAAAGTTAAACTTGTCAATTTACATTTACTGTGATTGTAATGACCTCACTGGAAGGACTGGGGTAAGAAAAGTTTCCTGGTTGCCTTTTTAATGTCCCATCTGTTCTTACAGCTATTTAAGCAAAAAAGATAAAAACCTACTTAAAAGTTATATTCAGAATATAGTTAAGCAACAACTTAATATATTCCATTTCACATTATAATAGCCACCATTTTGAATAGATTTTTAAAGTCACACTGACAAATGACTGAACCCAAATTCCACAATTAGTAAAAATATTACATTTCATCCTTGCTGTCCTGAATAGCCAATGTTGCTACCTGCACTGCTGATGCATTCTTCACCTCAGTCACCAACGTCAGACTGAAATCTGCAAAATCACTTAGAGTAAAATAAAAAAAAGAACAGTTTATTGAGAGGCAGGTAATGATAACCACATTTTCTGATCTTCCTGCAAAAGAGTTAATAAGATTCCAATTAACAAATGGGATGTGTTTACAAGAATCTAATATGGGGATATGAATTTATAAATAGGCTCAAAAAATCTGCTTTCTTGCTAAGATGATATAAATGTGATTTCTCTTTGTCAGGCATAAACTAAGCTATTTCTAATCACAGTGTCTTCCTGCCCTTTCTAAGACACTTTTTATTTAGACATAATCGGTTACAGTTCTAGCAGACACCCCACCCTTTATACTCTGCACCCAGTTTTACATATTAATGGGGGGGTGAGGTAGGGGAAAAAGTGGGAGAGGAAGGGCAAACGCAGTCTTCCAGCATTTGGACCTATCCACAACCCTGGCCTAGGAAACGGTTTGCTTAAGTGCCTCAGTTGTAACTACATCTTAATAATTCACCAGTCGTTGACACACAGTGAATTACAGATCCATGTCTCTCTTTCAGTTTCCTTGTCCCAGGTGACCTCCCCACAGTTCATCACTGATGACACTGGACCCTGATGGGCCGCCTATTGAGTCAGGAAGGTGGTCGGCTCCCTGGGCTGAATCCACTGCAGACCCCCAACCAGACGTGTCCTAGAATCTCCTTCCTCTTTCTTTTTTTTTCTTTTTTAAATACCCCACCCCCCTCCTTCCTCTTCCTTCTCCCCTGTATGCTTTCTTGCAGTTGTCTTATGCTGGGAAACCTTGAATCCCTCTAGCAGCAACCCAGACCTCAGCCTAGGGGCGATCCCTCCTGCTCTGCTGCCTGCATCCAAGTGAATCACAAACCATGAGAAGTGGGGAACCCCCCAGAAAAATAAGAAGGTTCCTTTCCCCAGATCAGATACGCCCACTGAAACACACACACTCACACACTTCTTCCTCACCCCCGCACAGGCCTCCCACTCCCAGCTCCAAGCAGCCAGGGAGGACGGGAGGGGGGGTGGGGGGGATTGCGGGGAGCCACCGCCCCCTCCTCCCCTCCACCCAAACCCCCCCCTCCATTTCATCTCTCCCCCCTCAGTCCTGAACAGTCCCGGCCCAGGGGTGGGGGGTGCGGGGGTTTAAGGTGCTTTCCCCCTCTCCCCTCCCTCCGTCCGTCCCACCCCACCGCCCCACACCCTCTTCCCCTTCCCCGCCCAGGAAGGGGATGCAAACCCGTGCAGCCGTCGCCCCCCGCCCCGGGGTGGGACGGCAGCTCCCCTGCAGCCCGGGGGTCCCACCTTGCGCTTCCTGGTCTCGGGGGTCCCGCTCCACACGAAGCACTGGTAGATGACCCGCAGGTTCTGCCGCCAGTTCTCCACCTTAAAGCTGTTCACATGCGAGCAGCCGGCCGGACTCATGACAAACTCCACATCCAGGCACCCGCCGCCGGGGCCGCGCCGGGGCCGGGGCCGGGGCCAGGGGCGGCGGCGGCGGCAGCAAGAGGGGCACGGCTCCGGCGGCTCGGGCCGGGGCCGGGGGGTGGGACGCCGCCGCCGCCGCCGCTGCTGATCCGCGCCGGTTCCTCCTCCTCGGGCTCCGGCTCAGCTCCGCGGCCCAGACCCTGCCGCCGCCGCCGCCTGCTCCGGCGGCGCCTCCTCCCGGGGCTCAGGCTGCTGCTGCGCGGGGCGGCGCGGGGGGCACATAGACCCGGGGGAGGGTCCCCCGCTCCCTCCCGGCCTGAGGCGAAAGCGGCTCGGAACAAAGCGCGGCGGCCGCGGCTGCGGAGGAGGAGGAGGAGGCGGAGGAGGAGCGGAGGAGGAGGAGGCGGGGGGCAGACAAAGATGGGGCTTTAACCGAGGAGCGGGCGAAGCGGCGGCGGCGGCGGCGACGCCCCCGGGATTCCTCCGGCCGCCCGCTCGCTTCTCCACTGCCCCGGCGCGGGGTGGCGCGGCGGCCGCCGAGGCTGAGCCTGGCTGAAGCTAAGGCGGCGGCACCCGCTGCTGTTCCTGCTGCTGCTGCTGCCGCGGCCGCTGCTGCTTCCACTGCCGCTGCTGCCACTCGGGTCCCGCTTCCTCTAATTCATTGAGGCCGGCGGGAGGGGAGGCTGGGGGAGGGGAGGGGAGGGGAGGGGGATGGGGAGGGTCGGGGGCGGCCGGTGTTTATTTGTCCTCCCCCCGCCCGCGCTGTCTCTTTAAATCGCTCCGCCGCGCTCTCCGCTCCCGATCGCCGCCGCCCCCCCAACCACCCCCCCACTCCCCACCCCCCTTCTCTTCTTCTCCTCCTTCTCTCCCCGCTCCCTCAAGCCCGACCAACCTAGCTCGCCAGACGCCCGAGGGGGGAGGGAGGGAGGGAAGGGAGAGAAGGAGGGAAAAGGGGCACCCTGAGTCCCGCCCCCGTGACTTTGCGACGGGCCTGCTTCCCCCGTCACTGCCACCGGGGGTGCCACTCGCTCTACCCATTGGTGAGTACCGCAGTCCGTCTGGCTCGGGCTCCTCCCTCTTTTCCATTTCAAACTCAGGGCGCAGTCGCCGCTCTATCTCCCCCACCCGCCCACTGCAGGAGGCGTGTGCTGGTTGGGGATTGGCTGACAGTGACTTTCCATCTGGGAGCTGAGCCCGCCCGCTGCAGGCTGGGTTGTAGGAGCAGCGCTGCTGTCATATCCGCTTCTGCCTTCAGCTTCTCTCAGTTACCCCAGTGATTTCCTGCAAGGGAGGGACGGGCTGGGGGAAGCTCGGGCCGGAGGAGGTGCTGCTTGTCCCAGGCTAAAATCACTGCCATCTCTCTCAGTGCTAGAAACCTCCGCCTGCCCCCAGTAGTTCCACTTTGGTCTAGTCCAGGTCTACCTGGGACCACATACCTGTCCCGTAGCAGCCCAGTCCTTTAGGTTTCCTGGATGAAAACCATGTGGAAGGCAAAAATAATTGCAGGAACGTGTGCTAGCGATGTCCTACCGTTTTGAATTTTTCCCCAGCCCTGTGACCTGTCTCAAAAACATGCAGGAGAACGTTTACTGGGCCCTTCTTCCCATAGCCCAGATTTTCCGGGCTACACCCTAAAATGAGAATCACACTCTCGATAGTGTCCCCTCACTTCCCCTTCAACTGTTTTGACCCCCCTGGTCTTGCTCTCGTTATCGTAGTATTTTCTCCCCAACACTTCGTAGCAGAACTGTAGAGGGAAAATATGCACACTCATCCCCAGTGGATCTTAGTCTTCTTAATTCCCAGGGAGATCTTTGCTAGGGCAAGTAGCACCGTGTTAGCTGGGTTTTGATCAGACATCTGGTGAAAAGTTAATTTCAGTACACTGAAGGTTAGATTGCTGGCACGTTGATTGGAAGACATTTAGTATTCGGCTTTGGACCTGTCTTCACAATATGAAATAGGAATTTTAATTTTAAAGAAATCTCATGGGATATGAAGCTGCATGGTGGTCTGAATCCTTTATTTCTGAGAGGCTCAGGCCTAATAATTTTATCCAGGTATTTACTCTGGGTTAAGGCAATGTCAAAAGCAGAGACTTTGGAGGGGTTTTTTTTAGAGGTTCTGTGTTCAAATTTCAACTCTGTATCTTATTAGCTATATAACTTGGACAAATCATAACCTTCCTGAGTCAAAGTTTTCTTCCATTTTAAAATAAGGGAGTTGGATTAGATAAATGCCCTATAGCTCCCAACTCTAAGACTGTGAGCCTCAGTATATATGAGGATTAGTCCTGCTAACTCAAACAATTGTTCTCTCTGAACATACAACATTTAAATCAGTTAATTGACATGAAAATCAATTTACTAAGAAGTAAAGAAAATTCAACTTGGGAATTTCATTTAAAGTGTGAGATGTTACTATATATGCATCATATACTGTGAGGGGAAGACGTCTGTATTGTTAATGAAAAGTATCTGATTTAGTTCCCGAAGTGTTAACATTTATTCATTTAGAATTTAGCACTCATACCCTCTAACATAATACTGTATTTCTAAATGATTCATCTGTGGTGCAGTGGAACACACAGTGCCCTTATAATCAAGAAGAACTGGATTCAAATCCTGACTCTGGCACTTGTGAAATGTCTCACCATGGTCAAGTCACTTTCCTTCTACAAGGCCTACCATTTCCTCACCTGTAAAATGAAGGGATTGCCATAGAGGATCTCTAAGGTCACCTCCAGTTCTAATATTTATGTTTCCTATTCCTACATATCAAATGAGATAACATATGTAAAGCATTTTGCAAACCTTGAAAAGCCATGTGAATGCTAGTCATTATTATCACTCCATTATAAAACAGGTCAGTTCTGTTTGGAAGTTGTGTGATATAATTTGTCATGATTACAAGGTAGGAATATCCCGCCATTTCCATAGTGCTTGAAAGCTTATAAAAAATTTTCTTTATAACAAACTCCATGAGATAAGTAGAACCAGTATTATACCCATTTTACAACTGAGAAAACTGAGGCTTACAGTGACAGTGTGCTTTATGGGACACAGAAAGGACACCTTGCCCCAACAGATCTCCCACATGCACCTTTCATGACCTAAAATCCCCACCGAGTCAATCAATAATTGATTATACCTTTGTAATATGCAAATGATATTTGTTGAATGAATGAAAAAAATAATTTTAAATTCTCAGATGTTATAGAAAGGGCACTTATTCAGATAAGGGTTGATCTCTGAGTTCGACTCTGGGATTCTGTGACTCTGTCACTTCATTAAAGTTAAGAATCAAAAGAGATCTCTTATGTTACCTTGGCCCACAAAGTGACCAAGAAAAGCTTCCAGAAAAGTTACCTGAGAGTGGCCCTCTGATTCTCCGTGATTATCCCATTAGCATAGATTAATTTTTCAGACTTCTAAACTCCTGAGGAACCTTGAAATAACAAAATACAAGACAATCAAAAATTTCAGAGGCAGAATAGCACCAACAAGGTAAGCTTGGGTTTGGAGGTTTAATGTTGAATCTCTGCTATGTCTCCATAGTGTCATGCTAAATTAAGATAATGATGGAGATGAGAATAGATGAGAATGACTGGGTAGCCTAAAGCATTTCTTCATTTCTTCCTTAAGTTGGTCACCACTCTTTTCCCAAAAAAGAAACTATTTTACTATAACATTTTCTATAAACACCTTGCAAATAATATACAATCCATACAAATGCACTGACTCAATAAAAAATGAAATTTCTAATCGTAAAATTTAAGAATTGAATGGTCAACATGATGTGGTGTAAAGTGTGCTGGATTTTGCATCAGAGTATTTAGGTTCAAATCCCACTTCTGTCTCTTATTGCCTGTGTGACTTTGGACAAGTCATTTGTCTTCTCTGAAAGTTATTTAATTTGTAAAATGGGTGGAAGGGAGGAGATTAGCTGACCCCTAAGGTCCTTTCTAGCTGATTGCCTGTGATCCTTTCCTATGCTGTGATGAAAACATCTTAATTTTCTTTTCCAAAGTATCTCTTCATCAGGTTCAAGAAGCCAGGATTCAAATCCTACCTCTGACTCTTACTGCCTGTATAACTTTGGGCAAATTATATAACCTCTCTGGGCTTCACTTTCCTCAGCTATAAAGTAAAGGGTTGGACAAGGTGACCTCAAAGGTCCCTTCCAGCTCTACCATCCTAATGTACATGAACCAAGTCAGAACATTGCCAATATTCATTCTATAAAAAGAAAACTTCAAGATACAGACTATGATGTATATTCTTTTTTTTCAATTGGTGCACACTTAACAACAGATGAAGTTAAAAAGAAAAATAAAGAGATAATTGTAAGACTTCTAAACTTTTTACTCCCAAATCCGTTTGCAGAGAGATTGCATGTGAAAGTCAAGATAAACAAAAGGTTCCAGTGATTTTTTAATATATTAACATTTTTCTAATACTGCATTCTTCAAGGATAAGAAATTTCATTGGTATGGTCATTCCTTCAACCAGTGCATATCAAGCTTCTTTATAACGTGGGAAGTGGTTTTTAGAAGCTGTCTGGGCTGCAAAACTCATCATCCTGCAACCGATGTGGTGATGAGCCAGGGAGGCAGCCCTCAGATGTTTGTTGTTATTGGTGGTGGTGGTGGTAGTGGTACTTCATTATCCTTATCAAAGAGGACCAGCAGGGTGATGTCTTGACTTGGAAACATATTAGATTTAAGTGAGGCAGAGCTTCATCAGAAATCATCAGCTTCACTCTCTCCTCCAGAATGGCAAGACATAGGTCAAGACAGCTGGCAGTGGCCCCACATGTAGTGACAAGTGAAACCTTTCTCAGGTTTCAGTTTGTCTGAGGCAAGTGGCTATTCAGTGATTAAAGGCTAGGTAAGAATTGAGGCAAAAGATGGCCCAGTTTGGCTTCACAAAAGAATCAATCTGAGAGGGGGAAGACCCTAAGAAAATCTGGCCTGAACAGAAACAATTGCTATTTACATTCACTCTGAGCCATCAAAACCTAAAGAATGAACAAACAAGGTTTGGGCTGGGACCTATTATTGGCTAATCAATGAAAGTCT